GTTTAAATATGTTCTGTTTATTACCTGATATATTTATGTCAAAACAAAATGTGAAAATGTCCCCTTGAATCTCAGAAACTCTGGTGGGCGTTCCTTATCTCTGCTTTAATTTAGTTTGCTTGTTTTAAAGGTTAACACTGTAATAAGAAAATAAAACGACCACATCAGCCTCACAGTCTTAACCAAGCAGCATAATGTTGAGTCTGATTGTCCTACCAATGGCACTCGGACTGCACTAACAAGTCTATTTATTTACAGACAACAGATGATGGCTGCTCCAAGCGGCCTTGGCAGTAAACAGGGATTGTGATTAAAGTGAGTATAAAGACATTTCATAAATTGTTAAATTGTGTTTTATCCTGTTGATTTTTAGGTTTCCAGTCAAAACAGCAAGATGAATCCTGCCAGAGAGGCATTGTTAACTGATTGTTGTTGTTCTCCTTTCAGAGACGATGTTGTCAACGAACATCTGGATAAACCAGTGAGCCAAACCGCTTCTGAGAAGAGGAGACACTTTTTTCCGAATATATTTCCTACTGATATTCTGCCACTGTGCAACAGTTTTGTTCAGCAGTGGAAGTAAAAATCCAGCCAGGCAGCTGGTACTACAAAGTAGAATTAAAATGTGAAATGTTACTGAGCCTTGGAGAACAATTCTCTTTCTCGTGTGCCCTCCACCGCAAGAGCTCGCGGAGGTCACTGACAGAATAGCTGTGAAACTGTTAGGAATTCACCCACTTGCTCGAGGACACTCCAGTAGCATGATTGCTTCCCAGCGTGAGCATTTGAACTTTAAACCTCCTGCAGAAGGGGCGCCGCTTTTAACCACTATGTCAACCTGTTAAACACAGGAGACGTTGCCTTCAAGAACACTGGACAGCACTCTTCGACGTGAGCCGTCAGATTGTAAAAGGACGGATTAGTGACCACTGAACATAATGTTCTTATCCTGTCTATTGACTGTAGGGCAGGCACTGCACCTACTGACAGGACTGTGAAAAAGAGGAGATGGACTGGGGTTGTTTGTTTGTTTGTTTTCTTTTTGACTACGATTTTCTTCTCCAACCATATCTAAACTCAGGTGTACAAAAGGAGGTACTATGAGACTGTCACCCTAACCTAGTCAACTCAAAAGCCCCTGGTAGTTGCCTTGGTTTGTTTTTATGAATGTATGAGTGAATGTGTAGACAGGAAATGCAGCGCAGCAGCTGCTTGTGAAAGAACAAACAACACTGATCATCCATCTGAAGCACAAGTCATCCCACCCATTTCTTATTAATTTCCACCCAAACTAATGTTTTTCTTTCTCTGGAGCACACACACAGTATATGCATCATTCAAAGCTGCCTTCGTTTGTTTGAATGTCTTTGAGTAGCAGAGAGGGACCGGCAAGGGTGGTGTCATTGTTATCTAAATATGTGTGATTCTCTGTTGTGCACTATGGATTTCTGTTAGTCTGGACATCCTGGAACCAAGTGGCCTTGGATAGTCGTATTTTAGTCGATACTTATTAATGTGTAAATGTATCTAAGAGTGTATACTATATTAATCACCGCCCTTCATTTCGGACGATATACTCACTGGTGTATATACGTGCACAGAGCAAATGCAT